GAGTCTTGCTCTGTTGCCCAGGCTGGAGTGCAGTGGCGCGGTCTTGGCTCACTGCAACCTCCACCTCCCAAGTCCAAGCAATTTTCCCTCCTCAGCCTCCCAAGTAGCTGGGACTACAGGTGCCTGCCACCACACCCGGCTAATTTTTGTATTTCTAGTAGAGATAGGGTTTCACCATGTTGGCCAGTCTGGTCTCAAACTCCTGACCTCAGATAATCCACCGTCCCTGGCCTCCCAAAGTGCTGGGATTATAGGTGTGAGCCACCATGCCTGGCCAAAGCTGACTTTTTAGCTGTTTTTCCTTATTAACATTTTATCTACTTGGCTATATTTGTTCTTAAATGTTTCTTCTTATATGGAGAATTAATGGTTCAAAAGGAATAGGTGGTTTTTTTTAGTATCTTTAAGCAATGGCCAATGTGGCATCCAAAAATGTGGTTCACGCCTGCACCAGCCAGCTTCTCTGCACCCTCACTAACATCAATTTTTATCTTTTTAACATTTGCCCATTCGACAGGTCAAAAAAGTGTTTATTGTAATATTTTACATTTCTTTGATTTCTGATGTTAAATAACTGGCTTTTATTATCACTAATTTTATGAACTCTCTATTAGTGTTGTTTATTTTCATATTGGGCTATTTTTCTTAATGCCAAAAGCTTTTTTCATTTCAAATATTAACTGTCATCTATGTTATAAAATACTTTCCCCCCTCCCTTTTTGGTTTGTTTTTATTTTAGTTGGTTTTTATAATGTAGAAAAGTTAAGCCCATCTTTATTTTCCTGTCTCCCATGTGGTGGTCTTTCAGTGGTCTCTGCTGTTGGAATTATGCTTGAGCATTTGTCTGTCTCTGTTCTCTGCTATATTGTAAACAATGCTTCTGTGAACACACTTTTGGAGAGTATATGTTTGTGCACATGGGCAGATGGGTCTGTGAGTTAGATTTCAGAAGTGGAATTGCCAAGATAGGGGATGACATTGTATTTATGTATTGATAATTGTTGGGTATAGTTGAGAGGTGTATTCAAATTGCAGCTGTAATATCATAAGTATTTATTGGGTCTAAGAGGTTCAAAGTTGATTCATTGGGATTTTCTAAATTGACTTTCATGTCACCTGTGAATGGCCCGATTAGGGTGTGACCATGGATTCAAGGTGCAGATGGTGAAGGCAGGGGAAGAGAGGAGAGCCTGGGCTTAGCATCAGTGTAAAGATGTCACAGCTGCCTGCACCCACTCAGTGGGCAGCACAGCCTCTAAAGGCCTCTGCTCGTAGTTGTGTTTATTGTTTTGTTTTAACTTTGAATTTATTTTTTTGACTAGGTAATACATGCTCATGATAAAAAAAAAATTCAAAAGGAGAATATACAGTGAAAAAATAAGTTGCCCTCCCTTTACTGGCCCCTAAGTTCCCTTCCCCAAAGGCAGTTGGTATTAGTCATCATTAATAGTCTCTTATATATCCTTCTAGAAATCGTCTGTATAAGCACATCTGTTTTTAGTTTCTTAGAATGCTATACACACTGCTATGTCTGGTTTTGCTATTAACTATCTTAGAGATCATCTCATATTTATTTAGGGTTGCCTTATTTTAAAGGATTTCATAGTATTTCATTACATGAATATAACATATCTTGTCTATTATCAGCAACACATCAATGAATATATTCTTGCACATAGGTCATTACGTATCTCTGAGGTAAATTCATAGAAATAGAATTTATAGGAGGAGGAAGATATGTGCACTTCTAATTTTGATAAAATTTACATTGCCACAAGCAGTATATGAGTATACTTATTTCTTCACACACATACAAACATGTGTTGCTCACCTTTTTGATTGATTGATTGTTTTGTTTCCAGCCCTTTCTTTACTCCCAAATGAGTTTCCTCTGCCGTGGTGGGAAGTAGCTCAGGTCTAATTTGATTTTTTTTTTAAGATTTTTCTGTTAAAAAATTTCATTTTTCAATGCTTTATTGACCAATGGCCAAGTTCTATTGGCCTGGTCAGAAAATCTTGAATATGTTAAATGAAGATTGCGTAGGTTTACTCTAGTCCTGAATTTCTTGAGGAAGAGCAATGTGTTTTATTTTCTTGGCACAGAAGTCGGCATTCACCTTGTGACAAGATACTTATGGGTATTTAAGTGGTCACATAATTAATCGTAGGAAGTCCTCCATTCTTTTCTATGCTCTGGAATGGTTTTTATAACATGGTAAATATTTCATTCACAGAAAGTTTACTTGGGAAGTTGCTCTTTACATTATTTCAGCTTTTTAGATTTATTCCCTGGTGGTCATATTTTTCTCTGCTTTTTGAGTCAGGTTTGGCTCTTTGTATTTTCTTTAAAAAAGTTGTTGATTTCCTGTTGAACTCTATAAGCCTACTGTTCTGATATATAGCTTCCACCTGGGGTACTTTATGCTTCAATTCATGTCTGTTAGGGAGGGAAATTCACATAATATAGAAATATATATATATAGATCTTACATAAAGGAACGTTGTTCTGTTTCTTTCTTTGTGCTTCAGATATGTTTTTCTTGTAATTGGGTAGAACTCCATAGAATAATGTTCACTAATAGTAGCATTAAGATTTTTATTTCTTCTTTCGTAAGTTTGGTTTGTGGTTTATTAGTGATATCTTTGTCTTGGGTTTCTGACTTGTTCTGGTGCCATAAAGACAGTTTGAAAGCTTTTTATTCCTCATGTCTGGCATGGTTTATGTGGCATGGGAATGGCCTTTCCCTGAAGGTATGGAAGAGACACCCCAGTGCTATTTGAGTCCCCAGTCATTTGGGGAGTTAATTCTCTGACACTCCTTCTACATGTCTTTCATATTATTCTTAGTTCATATATTTCTTTCTTTAAAACATCTGCAGGTACTTGTGTTTTGACTCTGTTGCTGTGGATAGCTGCTTGGTCTGAAGTTCCAGAAAGGATCCTCTTCTTAGACAGGTGATTACATATCTGAGGGCATCTCGTTGTCTGAGGATAAGGACTAGTATCATCTCAGGTACCAGAGTATTCTCCTGAGCCTGTCTACCACATAGCAGAGTTGGGCCATTTGCCCTTGCCCGTCTCCCTCACAGGCACAGGCCTCTGCTTTTGGTTGTCCTGGGTTAGAGTGACCATGCCTAAAATGTCACACCAGTCATCTGGAGCCTGGACTCTCTGGCCTGTTGCATTCTCTTGCTTTGGGATTCTTCTGCCCAGCAGAGCATTATCTATGTTGTGCTCTGTGTGATATCTCAGTCCTTTTGAAGGAGGGTAGCCTGGGAATAGTCCAGTCGCTAAGGTCTTCAGGATTGAGGCATTTTCATTGGATGGTGCCCAAGCTCCATGAGATGATAACGTATGGATGGGAGAGAGCGTGGGAGGGCAGTTTGCATAGGGAGGAAGTGGGAACCCATCACTGAGACAAGTAAACATGAGTACTGCGGTTCTACGTTGATTTCCAAGTGATAATGTCTAGTTAGAGACTCTGAATAATGGAAACACCTTCAGTTTTCCTTTAGACTTTTTTTAAATTAAAAAATTTAAACTTACTTTCCTTTTAAAACAAAGGGAGAAAATTTTTGCTGCATGTGTTTGTTTTTATTCTCTGGAAGTAAAGCCAGTAACTAACAATAGTGTTAGAGTAGGTGGTTTATGCTCCCAGACCTAGATTTCTTTTCCATATTGCCCTACTTAGTTGTAACAGTTGTGCTGACCAGTCATAAAAATGCTACATAATAACACGTAAATGATAGTAAAAATTCTTTAAGTAAAGAGAAATGTGTAGCTTTACTTGGTTGCATAAAGAAAGAGGAGAGATTGAAAATCCTTTATATCCAATCTCAAAAGTTTAAAAAATGGAAGGGAGCAGATGATAAAATAAAGACAAGGAAATAAATGAACTATGTAAAGAAACAGTAAGAAAAGAATATCGAAACAGCCAGTTCTTTTAGATAGATTAGATCTTTGACAAGATTGATGAAGGCAAAAGAAAGTGCAGTAGCATCAAGAGGCTCAATGGTCACTCGTCACTGTCTGAGGGAATAATGTCATATAACCCAGAATTGAGTACTTTTAATATTTTTGAGTGGTCTTCCATTTTGTGTATGTTGTATACTGTGTTTTAATAATTATGTTAAGGGATGAAATGTTAGAAAGGGGAGGATTTGCCCTAACTCCTACTTTCTTTTTCATTTTTGGTAATAAACAAGCTGACGTCTGATTTTAGTAATGGCTAGGGCCTTAAACTTTTCTCTTGTGCCTTGCATGGGAAGTTAAGTCTTAGGTATCTTAGTTTATTTAAGCTTCACAGTTCTGAAAGGGATGAAGATGCTCTTGCGTTCATTTCTCAGATTACAGAGACAGACTCTAGGGCATTAGACAAGTTGCCCACGGTCACATAACAAGGTAGTAGTAGAGCTTACTCTTCAAGAATAGGTCTGTGTGAAGCCTAGGGGTCATGCTTGTAACTGCTGTGCTGAGGCCAACTTTGTGCAGTTGTTTGTGTGTCTATTTACTGGGGACTCTCATATCCTAAAGTATCATCAATGTCCCTGGTAGGGTGGCTCCCACTGCTGCCTGGTCCTCAACTTCTGGGACATGTGTATATCTCCGTACGATCTATAGGTCCCTGAGTACTGACACAGGCTACCATGTCTTTCCTGTTGATTCATGTTTGGTTCTTCCAGTGAAAATTTTACTTAGGGAAACGCTGCCTCCAAAGCACTTATCAGTCACCAAACCTAAGAAGTCCTAGGCCCCAAATCTGCATGAGCTAGACAGTGACTTGACTAAGGAGCCAGGTGTCATCATAGGAGAAGACCCAACTGACTCTGAATTTTTTCATCAGAGGTTTTGGAACTTAATCTTTGTGGAATTTCTTGGACTTCAGAAGACCCTGATCAAACTCCAAAACCTCTGCCTTGATTGGTTACAGCCGGAGATTTGCACCAAGGAGATCATCAAGTTCTTGGTCCTTGAGCAGTACCTAACCATCATCCCTGAAAAGCTCAAGCCTTGGGTGCCAGCAAAAAAGCCGGAGAACTGCGAGAAGCTCATCACTCTGCTTGAGAATTACAAGGAGATGTACCAGCCTGAAGGTGAGACTCTCCACGGGGTGATGGTGGTCAGCACAGGGCGCAGGTATGCCCTGGGACTCTCATCCTCCGCATTTCCAACATGGTCTGGGCTGGATCCCTCTCTGTCGTGGGCAGGGGTGGGGGTGTCTCATGTACTGTGGGATATTGAGCCTCATTGTGGTTTTCTGGGTATGACCCCCAAAAGTATCTCCACATATGCCTAGGTATCCCCTGGCAGACAAAACTGCCCAGGCTGAGAACCACTGTCCTGAGTCAGGAGAGGGAAAGGGGACACTCCTGTGAAAGGGAGGAAACCTCCTGTGGCCCCTGCCCTTTTGGTGTGGTGCACGAGGAGGTTGCCTCCTGTTTGTCTCTGGGGTGAGGTCAGGGTGGTCACAGCCACCATACTCCCCATCAGTTTGTAGGTGTCAGGAGTGGTTGGAAGCTACTGAAGGATTTTGAGCTCGCAAATGTCAGGATCAGGTCACTCCAACCCTATGTGTGTGTGACGGGGAGATGCGTCTCAGCAGCTGGGGAGAACTATTGGGAGAATATGGGTCAGAGATAGTAACTTGGCATCTGGTGTCCTCTCAGACGACAACAGTGACGTGACCAGCGACGACGAAATGACCCGGAACAGAGGAGAGTCCCCACCACCTCGCTCAGTGTATTCTTTCAGTGGTGAGTACCCATCCCCACTGGCCACTCATGAGCAGGCACTGCCAGATGCTTTCAGATGGAGACACGGTGGGTTGGGGGCTCCATGAAGATGACCCACCACCCCCAAGTGGTCGGCTTCACTCAGATCTGAGGAGAGGGTAAATTGATGGCATAATGAGACATTTTTTATATCTAAATAGATACCTTAAATACTGAATATCATTTTATTCAATGATAGGGTATTGAAAGCTATTAGGAATTTGCAACAGGCTGCTTCCAGCTGTACCCCCAGCCTCTCTAGGAAGGTTCATTAAAGATGCTTCAGTGAGCATTTATAAGGAGCACTGCTTTCAAGGAGGGTGTGTGTGTTGTTTCTTGGGTTTTAAACATGTACTTTTAAGATGGGCTGCCAGACAGTAGAGGGTCTGCAGTCCATTCTCCTGAATGTGGACTTAGCCCCTTAGGAACTGGGAAGCCAGCAAGGAGTCTGAAGCAGAGGTTAGCTACTAGACTGAGCTTTGGAACTTGCTTTGAAGCAAGCCCCACTTGTGCGAAGCCTGCAGAAACCATATTGCTGGTACAGGATACAGAAGGGACCAGATGAGCCTGGGAATCTGGAGCCCTCAGTTTTGGATCTGTCTCCTTGCAGGAAGAGTAAGGGTAGCATCTCTTTCCTGAGGGGTGTTTATACACATACAGGGAAAACAGGTATGTCAAAGTGCTTTGTTAACCACTGGAATGTCCCACTTGCTCAGGTGACCGGGACTGGGACCGGAGGGGCAGAAGCAGAGACATGGAGCCACGAGGCCGCTGGTCCTACCCCAGGAACCCAAGAAGCAGTGAGTCTTAACCACTTTCTTTCTTAGTAGGATGGTAAAGCGTATGTGCTGTGCACAGGTTCAAGGGGAAGGTGGCAGACCTCGGAGTTTCTGCTGCTCCATTTGGACTATATTCTGCTTTCCCAAAAGTTTAGTCCAAGGGTCCTGTTTGTGAAGTTTTACTCAGTACCACCAGCACAGGTTTCACCACCTAAATTACTGTTTGTTCAGTGTTCTTCTTAAGCTGGTGCATTTTTTTTTAGACTAGAAGTTTCTGTATGAAATACTATGCCACTGCAAAAATTGGAAACTAGTATAGAGTGCCATAGGCAGAAGACAAGAATGAAAAACACCTTGTAACAATATTGTTAACTAGGAATGTCTGCCACGACTTCCTGCAGTGTTAGGGAAGTGCCACATGTGAGAACCAGGCCTGAGATTTTGGAAGGGAACCAATCATCACACCAATGTATCGTTGGTGTCCATACTGCCAGAAATCATTTCTTGTTGCCCCTGGACTTGGAGAACACTGCTGTGGGCAGCAGGGCACCCCTAAAATTGGGCAGGAGAAGGAAATCAGGAGTGAGTGACATCTAGTGATGGTTCACAACACATTAAGCACTGTTCAGAGCCATGATCCTGCGGGATGGTGGCTCTGATGCCATTTCCATGTTACACATTGCAGCTGGGGAGACCCAGAGATTGTGCCCGAACGATGAAGCTGGTGGGCACTGCACCTGGACCCACACAGCTTGGGCACAATCTGAACCACCTCTGAGATTGGGAGCAGAAGAATAAGGTGGGGCCCCTGGCCCTGCCCTGGGTCTGGGTTGTTGCAGGGCCACTGGTTTCATGGACTGCTCAGAGCCTGCCACAGAAGGCAGAGAAGAGAAACAAAGGCACTTGCTCTCGTATACCGCACAGCCGGTTTCACAGTTGAATGGGCCAAACCTGGGACCTGAAGGATGGACTGGGCCCTGCTCCTTGTTGATGCCTTTTCCCTTCCCAGGGATGCCTCAGCGAGATCTTTCCCTTCCTGTGATGGCAAAAACAAGCTTTGAAATGGAAAGAGATGACGACAGGGACTCCAGGGCCTATGAGTCCCAATCTCAGGTATGCTCGGGTTTACTCTCTTTCTAGAAAGGCCATCTTCATTACATGGCAGAGATGCCTTTCTTTCCCCAGATGGTGTGTTTATTTGCCCCCTAGAGTCCCACTTGGTGTGAGAGCCCAAGCACTCCAGGAGGAGCCCAGGCCCATCCCACAGATGACAAGCAGCCCAGGTTGCTGCTGCCTGTTTCTGTGTCGTCCATGTGGTCAGAGGAGCTCCTGCCCCCTCAGCATGAGTGTTACTTAGTAGGTTGGTCACACTGGCCATTCTCTACAGCATCAGGGAAGCAGAGTGACTCTGGGGATCTTTCTGGTCCTCAGGAGGGAGCCAGGAAAGCTGTGGGTCTGCAGAGTAGACTGGCCAGGGAGAACAAAGGCTCTGGAGCTGACAAGAGCTGGGTTCAAAGCCTGGCTCTGCCACTTGGTAGCTGTGTGGACTTGGGCCATTTACTCAACTAAGCTGAATTTAAGTTTCCTCATCTGTAAAATGATACAGGGATTGCTCCCAGGGCTGCTGTGAGAAGTCACTCACACACATGGATAAAGTACCTGGCACATGGTAGGCACACCGTTAAATGTTAACAATTATGGCAGTTGTGGTTTAAGAGGGAGCATGTACCAGGGAGATTCATGAAGGGGAAAAAAATGTGGGACTTGATCTTGCTTTTTAGGAAGGAGGAGAAGTCACTTAGACCACCTAGACATGGTGGAGTGTAGAGGAGGTCCCCAGCACTGACAGGACTCAAAGAAGGGAGGAGCCATTAGGCTTGGCCTTCCTTTCCTTCACATATCAGTACCCACCCCATGTCAGACAGCGGGCCTAGGCCCTTGGGGGCACAGCAGTGAGCAACACAGAGAGGGGCCCTGCCCTGAGAAGCTTTTGACAGTTACACAAGTAAATATTTACAGAGATGTTGTATGTAACTGCTAATCATTCTCTGTGCCCTCAAGGAAAAACAGAGGGTTAGCAAGAAATTATAACAAGGGCCTTGATTTAGATTGAAGGGAAAGGTCTTGGAGGCATTAACAGTTGCCATGTAGAGCAACCCAGGAGCAGGCTGGGTCAGATGTTGCAGGAGGGAACCCCAGGCCTTAGGGAGAGCTCAGCTGAAGTCGTGGGATAGGAACTAAAGGGTCAGGTGGCTGCGGCACAGGGGAAGAAGGCTGGAGTCATGTGTGGGCTTGGCCACTGGTGTCCTGGTAGTGGGGCTTTGTCTTGTTTTGCTTTTTAAATGCCCTTCCTTGACGATGTGTGAATAATTGGCATCCAGGCCCCATGTCTGCATAATCAAAAGTCTGAAAGCCACTGATTCCTACTGACACAGTATGGTAATAACACCAGCAGCAGATGACATAAATTACATTTTGAAGGTGTACAAAACAGAAAATTCTCTCATCTTTTAACATCACAAGTAAATCTCTTAATTGTTCACATGTAGGAAATGTTGTGAAAATTACAAATTGTGCCGTGTTAGCATTGTTCTCAGGGCAGCATCTCTTCTGTTGAACTTGATTGCAGTTTGTATACTTCAAGGTGTCATGTCGATTACAAACACAAAGTGAACAACCAATTTAGGGCTGGCCACTTGCATAGATTTTAATTTTAAATCAAAGTGTGTTTTTTCTTTCATGTGAAAAAGAATTTCATCTATGAAGCTGTGCTTCGTTTTCTTGCCCTATTAGTTTTTGTTGTTGTTTTTGCTTTCTTGCGGCAGGACACAGGCAGTGCATAAGTAAGACTTTTCTCTTAAACCCAGATGCCTGTACCTCTTTTTCTTTCTTGGTTAGATGTACCTTATTCAGCAAACCCTCTTTTTTGCTACATTTTTCATGTTGCTCAATGCCTTTTCCCAGCAATAGAACTATGGTAGATTTAATATCAAAACATTTGTATTTCCTTTATATAATTTTTCTTGCTGTTTAAGCAACACATCACATTGCAGAAAATCCTCACCCACAGTATTCCAAAGCAGACAGATGCTCTTCTCCCCATTTTACAGGTGAAGAACCTGAAAGAAAGGTTCAAAAAGATTTTGGTTCAAAAAGATTTCGGTTCCCAAGGTTGCATAGCTCATAATTGGTGCGGGAGCTCCTTTGACCCAGAGTTCTGTCCAGCTCCAAAGTCTATGGGCTTCCCACAGCACCATCTCTCTTCTCAGGTCTCTCTCCAGTCTCAGTGCCACTCTTCCTGTGACCATGACTCCCTGAAACCAATCATGTTCTAGTCAGCCCTCTGGCAATAAGCAAAGGTCCTTTAGGATCCTGCATAGAAAGTTCTCCTGAGTAATGCAAGGAGTTTTTAAATTCCTTTTTAGGTAAATATCCATTAAAACAGAAAAGGCAATTGTAAAAATGCCCTCAGGGCTTACAGTTATTCCTGGGTTATTTGGAATTTCTGCAAACTGGAAACTCCCTCAAGGTAACCATGCTGTGCCATGGAGAAACCAGGAGGGAGGTTTAAGTCACATCCTGACCAGATGTCTGCTTGAGTGTGTCTTCTTTCTGTTCCTTGAGTACTCCATGCCTGTTTGATATTTAGTCTGTTTAAGCTTTCCCACCAATTCCTTTCTATATGTATCATAATCTAACCCACCACTTAAGGCCCCACCTGCCCTCCACAAACCTTTGCTCACTGTTCAGACCCACCCTGAAAGTCCCTCTACACAAACCGTTTAGCACTTATTATCTGTACCCCAATTTATTGTTTATTGTTCTCTAATTGTTTCATGAGTCTTTTCTCTCCAACCAAATTATAAGCTGCATGAGGGCAAGGAATATGTGTCATGCGTCTTTGGGATCTGCCTCAGAGTGTAGCATCAAGGTAGGTACGATGTAGGCCCCTAGTAACACTTGACTTGGATGACTCAGATCCCCAATATCGTGAGCACTTCCTATATAACTTCGTATATGTACGAAGCTCCCATGTCGCCAACGTTATTCTGTCTTTGGACATCAGTGGGGACAGACTCCATTGAGAGGTCTTTGTTTGCTGTTTTAGGATGCTGAATCATACCAAAATATGGTGGACCTCACCGAGGACAGGAAACCTCACAACACAATACAGGACAACATGGAAAACTACAGGAAGCTGCTCTCCCTAGGTAAGCAGCTCCTTCTCTCAGTTACTGCCAGTCCAGTCATTGAAGCATTTTGTCATCTTGCTCCTTTTTAAGTTGGATGTTAGAGTCCACATTAATATATTTGGACTTCAAGGGTAATAAGAAACCTTTGAAATATTTCAAATGAGGGAGTACATAATGAGATTTGTGTTTTTAAGAAATGCCTCTGGCTTTGGGTAAAGATGCATTGTACAGGGTGAGGACAAGCAGGGAGATGTTTTTTGCCACAAGAGTTGAAACTTTTTCTAGAGCAGTTAGCACTAGAGGTTTTTAAGTAGACATTCAGGATAGGATACTGAGTTCCCATGTGGGCTTTCCTGGAAGACACCTGCCCAAGTTTCTGGTGGGTAGTTGACCATGCAGGTCTATAACGCCATGGGGCCTCAAGGAGGGAGCAGGTGGAGCAAGAGCAGTCGTGAGGTAAGAGGAAGAAGGCCAGTGAAAAAGAGGACTTAAAAAGTGGTTACAAGAAGTAAAGACTAAAAGACAGTGCACTGATTTCAGGGACATGTGGGGTCTTTGTACACATTTCTGAGCAGAGTCAGAAGAATTACATGCAGATTGTAATGGATTAGGGAATAGGTAGTAGGGAAATGAGACAGCAAATGTCTTCTGACATCCAAAGAATCAGAAATGGGCCACCACATATTTAGTGGCTCAGTGAAAGAGGAAGATCAATTTAAGGATGAGTCTTGGTCTTCATCTTGAATTTGAACCATATTGTTCTTGTGACCAGGAGTGCAGCTTGCCGAAGACGATGGCCACTCCCACATGACACAGGGCCACTCATCAAGATCCAAGAGAAGTGCCTACCCAAGCACCAGTCGAGGTAAGCAGGAGGCACATCTCACAGAGGAGCCACACAACAGTAAGATGCTATCACAGAAACTTCTACACTTTCTATTCCCAAACATCATAGAAGGGTGTGCCCCTTCAAGTCCCACGTCATTCTTATGGGGACTAGGGAGTATTTACATTTGGGGTTTCTTTCCAGGTCTGAAAACTATGCCTGAAGCCAAAAAATCAACCCATCGGCGGGGGATTTGTGAAGATGAATCTTCCCACGGGGTGATAATGGAAAAATTCATCAAGGATGTGTCACGCAGTTCCAAATCAGGAAGAGCAAGGGAGTCAAGCAGCCGGTCACAGAGATTCCCCAGAATGGCAGATGATAACTGGAAGGACCTTTCATTGAACAAGAGGGAGTCAGTGATCCAGGAGAGGGTTTATGAAGGGAATTCATTTAGGGGAGGCTTTAGGTTCAATTCAACCCTTGTTTCCAGAAAGAGAATTCTTGAAAGAAAGAGGCGCTATCATTTTGACACAGATGGGAAGGGCTCGACTCATGATCAAAAAGCCTGTCCCAGGAAGAAGCCCTTTGAATGTGGTAGTGAGATGAGAAAAGCCATGAGCATGAGCAGCCTGAGCAGCCTCAGCTCCCCATCCTTCACCGAGTCACAGCCAATTGATTTTGGGGCAATGCCATATGTATGTGATGAGTGTGGGAGGTCGTTCAGTGTCATCTCAGGATTTGTTGAGCACCAGATCATGCATACTAGAGAGAACCTCTATGAGTATGGTGAGTCCTTTATTCACAGTGTGGCTGTCAGTGAAGTTCAGAAAAGTCAGATTGGAGGGAAACGTTTTGAATGTAAGGACTGTGGGGAGACCTTCAATAAGAGTGCCGCCTTGGCTGAACATCGAAAAATTCATGCTAGAGAGTATCTCGTGGAATGTAAGGATCAGGAGTATGAGGAAGCTTTCATGCCTAGCCCAACCTTTAGTGAGCTTCAGAAAATGTATGGCAAAGACAAATTCTATGAGTGCAGGGTGTGTAAGGAAACGTTCCTTCATAGTTCTGCCCTTATTGAGCACCAGAAAATCCACTTTGGGGATGACAAAGATAATGACCGTGAACGTGAACGTGAACGCGAGCGCGGGGAAGCCTTTATGCCTAGCTCAAGCCTTAATGAATTTCAGAAAATGTATGGTAAAGAGAAAATGTACGAATGTAAGGTGTGTGGGGAGACTTTCCTTCATAGCTCATCTCTGAAAGAACATCAGAAAATCCATACTAGAGGGAACCCATTTGAAAATAAGGGTAAAGTGTGTGAGGAAACCTTTATTCCTGGTCAGTCCCTTAAAAGGCGTCAGAAAACTTACAATAAGGAGAAGCTCTACGACTTTACAGATGGCCGGGATGCCTTCATGCAAAGCTCAGAGCTTAGTGAGCATCAGAAAATTCATTCTCGAAAGAACATCTTTGAAGGCAGAGGATACGAGAAATCTGTCATTCATAGTATGCCCTTCACTGAATCTCAGAAGAGTCATACTATAACAAGACCTCCTGAAAGTGATGAGGACGAGAAGCCGTTCACCATTAGCTCTAACCCCTATGAAAACCAGAAGATTCCCACTAAGGAAAATGTCTATGAGGGGAAATCATATGAGAGATCTGTTATTCATAGCTTAGCCTCTGTGGAAGCTCAAAAAAGTCACAGTGTCGCAGGGCCCAGTAAACCAAAAGTAATGGCAGAGTCTACCATTCAGAGCTTTGATGCTATCAACCATCAGAGAGTTCGTGCTGGAGGGAACACCTCTGAAGGAAGGGAATACAGTAGGTCTGTTATCCATAGCTTAGTGGCTTCCAAACCTCCAAAAAGTCACAATGGAAATGAATTGGTGGAATCTAATGAGAATGGAGAATCCTCCATTTATATCTCAGACCTGAATGGTAAGCGACTGAAGATTCCTGCCAGAGAGAACCCTTGTGAAGGGAGCAGTAAGAACCACAACTATGAAGACTCAGTCATACAGAGTGTATCCCATGCCAAACCTCAGAAAAGTGTTCCTGGAAAGGGATCTGGTGAATTTAAGAAGGATGGTGAATTCTCTGTTCCCAGCTCAAATGTCCGTGAATACCAGAAGGCTCGTGCTAAAAAGAAATATATTGAGCATAGGAGCAATGAGACCTCTGTAATTCACTCTCTACCTTTTGGTAAACAACAAACACTTCGCCCTCGAGGGATGCTCTATGAATGTCAGGAGTGCGGAGAGTGCTTTGCTCATAGGTCTGACCTTACTGAGCACCAGAAGATTCATGATAGAGAGAAGCCCTCTGGAAGCAGAAACTATGAATGGTCTGTCATTCGCAGCTTGGCACCTACTGACCCTCAAACGAGTTATGCCCAAGAGCAATATGCTAAAGAACAAGCACGGAACAAATGTAAGGAGTTCAGCCAATCCTTTGCTACCAGCAAAGACCTCAACACACACCAGAAAATCTATGACCAAGAGAAGTCTCATGGCAAGAAGTCTCAAGGCAAGAAGACCCATGGGGAGGAGACCCATGGCAAGAAGTCCCATGGTGAGAAGTCTAATGGTGAGAAGACCCAAGGTGAGGAGACCCATGGCGAGGAGACTCACAGTCAGGAGATAATTGAAGACCCTGTCATTCAAGGTTCAGACATGGAAGAACCTCAGAAAGATGACCCTGATGACACAATCTATGAATGTGAGGACTGTGGCCTGGGCTTTGTGGATCTCACAGACCTCACAGACCATCAGAAAGTCCACAGGAGGAAGTGCCTGGTTGACAGTCGGGAGTACACACATTCTGTAAGTCACACCCATTCCATCAGTGAGTATCAGAGAAATTATACTGGAGAGCAGCTATATGAATGTCCGAAGTGTGGGGAATCTTTTATTCATAGCTCATTCCTTTTCGAGCATCAGAGAATCCATGAACAAGACCAGTTGTATTCCTTGAAGGGGTGTGATGACGGTTTTATTGCCCTCTTGCCTGTGAAGCCACGGAGGAATCGTGCTGCAGAGAGGAATCCTGCTCTTGCTGGGTCAGCCATTCGATGCCTGTTGTGTGGACAAGGCTTCATTCATAGCTCTGCCCTTAATGAGCATATGAGACTTCATAGGGAAGATGATTTACTGGAACAGAGCCAGATGGCTGAGGAAGCTATCATTCCAGGCTTAGCCCTCACTGAGTTTCAGAGAAGTCAGACTGAAGAGAGACTCTTTGAATGCGCAGTCTGTGGAGAATCTTTTGTCAACGCAGCAGAACTTGCAGATCATGTAACTGTTCATAAGAACGAGCCTTATGAGTATGGGTCCTCCTATACTCACACCTCATTTCTTACTGAGCCCCTCAAAGGAGCCATGCCATTCTATGAATGCAAGGATTGCGGTAAATCCTTTATTCATAGCACAGTCCTCACTAAACATAAGGAGCTTCATCTGGAAGATGATGATGATGATGATGATGAAGCAGCTGGAGCAGCAGCCCAGGAAGTTGAAGCCAATGTCCATGTTCTACAAGAAGTTCTGAGGATTCAGGGGTCAAATGTAGAGGCTGCCGAACCAGAAGTGGAGGCTGCCGAGCCAGAAGTGGAGGCTGCTGAGCCAGAGGTGGAGGCTGCCGAGCCTAACGGAGAGGCTGAAGGGCCAGATGGAGAGGCTGCAGAGCCCAATGGAGAGGCTGAGCAGCCGAACATAGGGGCTGAGCAGCCAAATGGGGATGCCGACGAGCCAGATGGTGCAGGGATTGAAGACCCAGAAGAAAGAGCTGAAGAACCAGAGGGAAAAGCTGAAGAGCCAGAGGGAGATGCCGACGAGCCTGATGGTGCAGGAATCGAAGACCCAGAAGAAAGTGAAGATCAAGAGATTCAGGTGGAAGAACCATACTATGATTGCCATGAATGCACAGAAACCTTTACTTCTAGCGCAGCATTCGGTGAGCATCTGAAAACCCATGCCAGCATGATCATATTTGAGCCTGCAAATGCCTTTGGAGAGTGCTCAGGCTACATTGAACGTGCCAGCACCAGCACAGGTGGTGCCGATCAAGCCGATGAGAAGTACTTCAAATGTGATGTCTGTGGGCAGCTCTTTAGTGACCGCCTGTCCCTCGCCAGACACCAGAATACCCACACCGGCTGACAGCATTGAGTAAAGGTTAGAAAACCTTCACCTAGGACTTGACCCTTACCCAACCACAGAGAATTCAAACCAATCCATGATAATGTCAGTAGGAGACAACCTTAGCGTGTACACACCTGACTTAACATCACTGAACTCAGATTGAAAAGAGACTAAATGTAGAGATTTCACAGTCTTAAGCTTTCCCCTTCAGACACCAGTGTCTACATGTGGGAAAGCCACAGCACACATCTTACCTTTCCAAGTAATCAGATTGAGAAAACCCTATGAGTATTCTACACTACAAAGATTGCCCCAGTGAACTGTAAATGACACTTGCATAACCGATATATAGTGTTTCCTGAGGTGTATATAAAATAGCAAAAATTATGGCAGAACAGTGATCACATATATTTGGATTTAATATGATATACAGTTACAGTTTACTGTGCAGAGGTACCTTACCTGGTACTCTGAATTTGTTTTTGTTTTTTTTTTGGGTGGGGGGGCGAGGAGGAAGAGAGCAACAAATTTGAATATATTTGTAAGTGTCTTAGATCCTGAGAAAGATTTATTGTGCATTATTTGAACCCTATCAGCATCTTTTTGAGTAATTGTTTTGTTCCTTACCCTTAAATAGTCTTGTGAAGGTGTAGGCATGACAGATAACATGTCTTTTACTCTTCGCTGTTTGAAAACAGAAGTACTTTGAGCTTCTTTCTGCAGCCATTTTGTCTGCACCAACACTTTGGAACCTAATAGTGTGTAAGGCTTTACAATATATGGATTGGCCTTTTTATGACCCAAATTGATTGGTTGCCACATTGTATGTATGTATCAGTGGTTCTCATGCAAAAATATTACAAGTTTGTTTTCTGTTTTTTTTTTTTTTTTAAACCAACTCAATATGTGTTTGATAGTAGTGAATTGATAAAACCCAAAGCTTTTCCCTGTAAATCTTACATCTTTGCCTTTAAAGAATGGGTTACAACCATCACTAGATCACAGTAGTGCCTAATGAAGGTTGAGAACCGTAGGAGAGGCTCTCATGCTGTAAATAATGATGCAGGCTGACGACCTTTCATCACTTTCTTTGTGCGCTTCCTGCCTTAAGTGACAAGTAGCAACATGGCTTGGGTCCCCTGTGCAGCATCAGCATATGCTGCCACAAGTCAGTTTGCACCCTAGGTGCCCAGGAGCTAGTATCCTTAGATCTTTCTATCGCTAACTTAATTCTCTTCTTTATTTATCTGACCCTGTAACTCCATATCTAACTTGTATTTTTTAAAAAATGCTTTCTTTACAGTCAACCCAAGCTTAACATGGACTCAGGTTCCCCAGCAGCCTTAATTTGTTTTGTTACCATCTGTTCATTCTTTTTCAGCTTTCCTAGCATTTCTGAGTGTTGTGTTCGTCTGATCTTAGCATTCCCTTTAATTACAAATTGACCTCACAGCTTGAGGTTTCCTGTGTCCTATTCTGTGGACTACCTGTGCTCCTTTGCTTCCCCTCCCCTTGCCTAATAACTATATTAAGAGATTTTTTTGGCCTTGAGTTGGCTGATAAAAAAAAAAATTAAAATTTAAAAAAACTAAAAAAAAAGATTTGCAAAAGATAAGTGTAGATCATTTGAACAAGCAAAATTAACCCACTGGGGGAAATGTGTCTGAATCTTACTCTTCTAGATCTGCAGGATTAGGGCTTGGGAGTATGTAAAAGATGCAGAGTGCCAAAGTTTAGGAAGATTGTAGAGCCGAGAGCAAGAAGCAGAAATGAGCAAGCCAAAGAAGGGAGTCCTAATATATCAACAGACCTAGGAGGGGAGAGGCGACAGACAAAAGAAAACACCAGAGGCAAAAATTGTGGAAGGCCAGGTTGCCTAGAATGAATTGAGTGGGGTGTCCTGAGCAGTTTGGAAAAGAAGGAGTCTTTGATGGCATGGTGTAAGTGAGGGCTAGCTGCGTAGGAAGACCTGAGGTTGGAATGGACATCAGGAAAGCTGAGGGGCAGTGAGGTGTACTACACGGGAAGAGGACTTTTGAAATGGGAATCAGTGTTGATGTCGGGGTGAACTTTGTGGGTTCATTACTTGGTGTTAACATTGTTGGCAGTGTTAATTCGTAGACCCTTTTCAGAAAGCAACTAGCTAGAAGTCAGGGTGTCCGTTCCAACCTTAAGTTAGTGAAAAGATAGTGACAAATGGTAAACAACAAGAGAATGATTGTGTAAACCTATCTATGGACACCTATGCAGTTGTTTAAAAATGATAATCATGAGTTGGAACATGGAAATATATTTACGGAATATTAAGTGGAGAAAGCAGGACACGAAAGTATATTTATACTACAGTTATAACTGTTTAAAAATGTATGCTTATAGTCAAAAGCTGTTGTGGTGTTGTAGGCTTGTAGTTGAGCATTATTTTCTTAAATTTCTTGAATGTTCTTTATGGTAGTGTTACTAAAAAGTTTATGATCACATTTCCATTGTGAACATAATTTGAACTCATTATCACACACTTGGAAAATACAGAAAAGTGGAGGAAAAAAATTCATATTCCCACCATCCAAAGACATATATACTCTTCTCTATCTTGTTTATTCTTTTTTCTGTGCACAAGTTTATGATTATAACTCTGTTGAAATATATATTCAAAATAGCTGTTATGTTACTTTTGTGGAATTATGCTTAAATACTTTTATCTTAATTTTTTCAAATATTCCTTATAATAATGTCCTTATAACAGTGTATTATGTATGTCTGTATTGCGTGCATAATACATACCCAGATGAAAAATTAGAAAATACAGTAAATTATAAACAAAAAATTACCCATATTCCCAACATCCAACAACTACTGCTAACATCTTGATCTGTTTCCTCCATCTTGTTTCAGTGCACAAGCTTGTGATTATAACAGTTTTAAATATGTGTGCATAAAGTCTAAAATGAAAAGATGTGGAAAATAACTAATACAGTGTTATCATTGTGGGAATTTGGTTAAATATTTTGTCTCAAATTCCTTATATAATCTTTGGTGTTTTGGTAATAAATTTTATGTGTGTACTTTTTCATTACAAATATAATACATACTCACAGAAAACTGGAAATTCAGTAAAGAAAGGAAAATTCACTCATATTCCCAACACCCAACAACAATTACTGTTAACATCCTGATCTGTACACTAGTCTGATTATTAGGTTGTTAATGATAAGTATGCATAAGTGGCAAAGATGGGAAGAAAGATGGAAAACAAGAAATAGTTGTGTGGTTGTTGTGGGATTATGGTTATTTTGTCTCGGTTTCCTTAAAAGGTCTTCATCATTCTAGTGTTTTGGTAGTCCACCTTTATTACATATATTTCCATTATATATGAAATATGTGTTCATTATAGAAAATTTGAAGTTACNTGTAGAAGAGAAACTCACCCATGTTTTCACCATCCAAAAACCATGGTTAACATCTTACTTCATCTTGTTTCTGTGCACAGGTTTTTGGTTTGTTAATATGGTTGTGATCATTCTATCTATCTGTAATAGTGTCAACAATAAAAATAAAGTTAAAAATAAATGTGTCTCAGTCTCTTCTTTTGTCTGTTTTGTGTTTGGGGTTGTTAAATATATTATTTTCGTAGAGATACAAATCCAAAAACTGAGCCCCTCCTTAAGCCTAAAAAGTTTGGTTTGCAAATCTTACTCTATTTTTAAGTATTATCTATTTCAACAGTTATTTCTAAGGGATTTTTAAATACCCTTTGATTTCACATTTGTAACTGCCCTTATAAAACTAAAACATACGTTCCAACAATTTTTTTAAACTTGTTAATAACCACAAGTATATCTTAGTTACTTGAGTGAGTGTCTTTAATTGGAAATGTGAGATTGTCTCAAACATTAAAAAAAAAAAAATCAGACAATAATGAACACTTAACATAAAAGTGTTATACTATGTTATAGAATCTCAGGTATTTATTTCTGACTTGCCTGAGGTTAAAAAGTAATTATCCTGAGGGGGTTATCTCTGTATTGTTTTTTCCCCAAGTTCATTAACCAGCCTCTAACCTGACTTCCCCACTATCAGGGATGATGACCTGCAATTCAGCAGGTCATCATCCCTGATAGTAATTTTTAAACATGCCTGTGATTCCATAATGATCAGATTTTTAACCAACTTGCTAACCCCATTGGTGACCATAGTGGGTAGCACCATACCTAATTTGTGGCCGCTGTCTCCCCAGTTCCATAAGTCAAAGGAGATGATCATGTACTTCATGCCCTTTTAATATCCTTCATGTCAAATGATTGAATTTTGCTCTTAAGATACAAAAGTATACTTGTCATTAATTCTAAGTAGGATTTGATGGAGTGCTGCATTCTTTCATGTTCTTAGAACTTTATCTCTTGTGCCATCTGACTGTTTTGGTCACAGCTTCCATGGTCATTCTGTGACAAGGGGCATCAGCATAGGTCAGGGTGGGAGGGTCAGGACTTTTTAAGGATGCGTTTCCTAAATAATGTGTTACAGAAGTTTGTAAAGGAAGGGAATGAAGTGGGTGTCATTAGGGATTGCTTGACCAATCCTTATACTCGGGCAATTCCTTCCTCCACCTCACACCCAGTTGAAAGGGTAACTTAAGTTCTCCTACTGCTATGCTTATTCTGTTAGACTTGACCTCTCCCTGGTATCTATCACTTGATTGGTGCCCATAGGTTCCCTGTCCCTGTGTCCAGTCAGATTCAAAAGAGACTGAGAGCTACCTAGGTTGTCATATGGGTTGGGGCTGGGTATACTTATGAACAAACAGTCCTAGAAGGAAATAAACCATAAAGCCAGAGGGAATCCTGGTTCCTGGTGCCTCACCTACCCCAGTGCCTTGTGGAGTCTGGCTGAACTGCCTACACTTGGGTTTTTTTAACATGGTTAATCCATTTTTTGACAAACCTCTGAAGGATTAGTGGCTGTTGAATCTAAACACTGTTTGTTAGGGATCAGAACATTGCAGGGTAAAGAGCAATTAACATATGTTGTTTGGGCTAGCCAGCTCAAGGAATTTAAGTCACTCCTTCCCTAGAAAGGCACAAGTGATAAAGAAGCCAGGACTGGTGCTGTATCTTCATACCAGGCAGACAGCTGGTGGCAGATTGATCGTACCAAGCCCTTTTAACCAGAGAGAGGGCAATCTTATAGTCTCATGGAATAGAAATTCATTCTGGGCTTAGATTTTTTTTTTCCTTCCCACCAGCCTCTCATGAATGTCTGCCAACTTACTGCATGTCTCATACCACTTATATGCCATATGTAGTGGCAAGGAGGGGTACGGAAAAAGTCTGGGGAAACTACTCTCAAGCAAAGTAGTAAGATTCCACAGGATAATTGCATGGTTTCTTTCACAAAGCCAAAGGGTGAATTGTCCAGGATAGCTCTTCCGTATGCCCAACATTCTTTTAATAACTGCACACTGCATGGGTTTGGTGAACTATCCTACCCCTGTTCATTCCAGTCATTGGTGAACTATCCTACCCCTGTTCATGCCAGTCACTATCTCTGTCCCTCCCTCATCCCAGCAAAGGGATAATTACATGGTTTGGGGTAGACCAGTCAGACTTCCTCACCCAAGAGTTTGAATCTTCAGCAGAGCAATACATGGATTGAAGATGTTCAAAGCGGAGTCATTCTTACAGGCACACTGAGAAGAGACCGCCTATTATTTTCCCCTATTGAGATTAATGAGCCTTCCCTGATTTCTGTCCTACTAGAAAGACTGATTGTTAACTCTTTACTCACTATTTTAAGCTACACAATATTATTCCAATAAGATCCAGTTTCTGGCTTAGCCCTCATGACCTAATCACCTCCTAAAGGCCCTACCTCTTAATACTATTGGGCTGGGTTTGAACATCAACATAAGTGTTTTGTAGGGACACAGACATTCAGACCACAGCAGTATGAATGGGGAGGAAGGCAGTTGCAAAAGCAACTAATTATCTCCCAATATACATTCTCCTGTTCTTCCTAAATGTTGGCTGGTTATGTGGCTATTTAGAATAAGTAAATATTTTCTGAGCCTTCCTTGCAGCTTGATATAGGCATGTGACTAACATCGGGCCCATGGTATGTGTCATTTCCAGGTCACAACCAGCTTTCTACTCTCTCCTTCCCCTTCCCTACAAGCTGGAATGTAGATGTGGTGGTAGGAACTGGAGCAACCATCTTGGATCAAAAGATGGAAGCCATGTATTGAAGATGTTAGAGTAATGAGTTAGGAGTTTATGTTTGATGATTTTTGACTACATATCCAGGCTTTTACATGAGAAATAAACATCTGTCATATTTAAGCATCTATTAATTGGGGGCTCTTCATTACATGAATGAAACAAATGTCTAAATAAACTGAAGCCTTAAATAATGACCACTCAAATAGGCAAGTCCCCTGTTAACAGGCCCTGTTAATCTTTTTTTCTATTTGGACCATCTGCCTCTGTGAGGCACCTGGGAGGGACCTGTCCCCTTCCCCCTCCCTTAAGACGTGGAGGATCCAGTGATCCTCCCCCTTATAGAGGGCACGTTGGTTTGGTCCTAGTCCCTTAGGTCTTTTGAATCCTTTCTGTTAGTTAGGGGACCAAAGATCACTCACTGGAGCTGTGGTACTGTATGGATAGGTATCCTGTGAGTTTTCTGGCTGGTACTCGAGGGCAACAGCCAGTCAGTGGGCTTGCCATTTGTCCTCTCTGTCTTCTTTCTGTTCCTTCTCCCTATCCCAGTTGTTAAGACACCTTACTGGCCAGGTCTACTAGTCTTGAGATGGGAGCATTGAGTTCTAATTTTACTTTTTGGAGCTTATGTCTAATGTCTGCTGTGCTCTGAGAGCTAAAATAAGATTGTCTCTTCTTTCTGGGTTTGGTCCACTTCCTCCCTAGCTTTTTTGAGAACAGAGGTATTTTTCTGTTTCACTGAAGAGAATATTAAAAGGGACTGGACATCTGCCGAATTGAGGTCATGGGTCTGAAAATATTCTGAATGAGGTTTTTAAACCCTTCAGGATCTTCCCTTAGTCCTTTAGACTGAGACTTTCAGTTATAAACCTCTGAAGTTGTGAAGGGAAAATGTACAGCAACCATTTCTCTTACCCCACTGGGAAATTGCTGGAAGGGTCATCATAGAGTAAGGCTGGTAAATGCCCCATTCTGGGTACTGGCTGGGCTGAGTCCCTGAGAGGAATCTGAAGGTGATCAGTAGAAAGGGAGTGTGTTGCCTGCAGAGGTCACTGAGGATAAGGGAGCTGTAGGTCAAAGATTATAGAATTAAAAATCAAAGCTTTTAATAATTTCATTAATAGTAAATTAATATCATAAAGAAACCTTGTTTTAATGTAGGCAACCAATCTCAGAAAGACTTATGAATAATTTCTTATTAATTATAGCCAACTTAATCATATACAAAATTTCTTTGATAAATTTTCCTCCACAGACTTTATCATGACTTACACAGATCATCTATAACATGCTTAGACCTTTTGATTTGTTCTATAATACCTCTTTTAAAATAATTGGTTATTTTATTTTAGGACGAAACTTCACCATATGACATCGTTTTCTTATGTGAAATTGTTTTTTTTTCTTAAAATACACGTTTATATCTAAAAATCTTTTATCTCTCTTTCTCTTACTGTTTCCTTTCTACCATTTTAAATAAATCATTTTAAATAACCTCTAAACTACATAAAATTATTGTTTTCTCAAGAATACAAATCACATAATTATATTATTATAATTCTTAAATTTTAGTGAAAACTCAGGAAGCAATAAATGTTGAACTGTTTATCAGATGTTAACATTTTATAGCTGAAACCATTCTATAATTTTTAGAAACTTGTTTTTTTCATATTATAATCCCTTTTTTATTGGAAATGACCCAATATCTAATGAGCATTTATTATTCAATTCAAAATAATTACAGCATTTTAATTACATGAAAAGATTGTCTACAAGCATTTTTCCCATTTATATGTACCTAATTCTTTCATTTTTTTTTAAGGATTCATTCTTTTTCACTGTGAGGTCAAATTTACATACATCAAAACATACAATTATTAAAGATATTATTCAATGAGTTTTGGAAAATATGTACACCTGAGTAACTCAAATCTCTATTAACAAATATACAAAACAACATTATCAATCCCCAAATTCCCATATGCTCCTCATCAATAAGTCTCCAACTCTATCTCCTTAGAGGCAACCATTAATTTATTTTCACCATGCATTAGTTTGGCTTGTTGTAGAATTAGCATGAATAGAATGACACAGTATGCATTCTTTATGTAACTCTTCTTTCACTTAGCCTGTTTTTCTATATTCATCCATTTTGTTGCATGTATAGATAGTTCCTTTTTTGCTGAATCATATTCTATCATATCAATCTACCATACTCTGGTTATTTGTTCTTCCATTGATTGACACCTGGGCTATTTCCAGATTTTGGGTAAATACTTAAAAATGAAATCACCAGATCATGTAGTAGGTATATGTGTAGGGTTTTTTTAATTTTCTACTTTTAAGGTCAGGGGTACA